ATTAAAGTGGTATCCCCTGTTATTTCAGGATTTAAAATAATGATTTAGCTAACGTAGCAGCACAGGCAGGAGAAGTGTTTACATCATTCAGCAAAGCAGTCAGGGGCTTCAGTTCTGCTGAAAATGACAGAATGGCTCAAGAGATATGATGCCCATCTTAAAATGTGTTTATACGAAGCAAATTGATTCATTTTTCATCACTTGCATGAATTTGGGTTCAGTTTCTAAAATCACTGTTCAAACACAAGCGAGAGTTAAAGAATTTATATTATGGAATATATATTACTTTCAATAAAAAACTTGTTCTCTTGAATTAAACTGTAAGCTGGTTATATGTTTGTATATGCATTTGTAGATGCAGATCTTTAATTAATCTTTTTTCTCTTAAGAAAATAAATGTTTTTAGTATCTCAAATGCTCTAAATGGTTTTCCAAGTGTTCAGAGCTGGTTACAGAACAAATCAACAATATGAACAGCATCTAAGTGTAGATAAGAAAAGGCATCTGACATTTGAAATACAATCAAGTCTAGTCATTATTTCCCCTTCTTCCAAGTCTGCTTAGCTACATTTAGAATGGCATGTAAAGAACACAAAGTCTGTAGAATGTATAAAGTATCTATAAATCTCCCCAAAAAAAGCTCTTTTATTTCTGGAGATGAAATTTTGACCTATATTTCTGAGATGCCACATTAATACAAAAAAAAAAAAAAAAATTCACAACAAAAACTGTACAGACAGCTCAGGTTGTGATACTTGTATTATTTTGTGTTAAATAATGCTCAAGCAAATAATAATAACGCTCAAATTGTCACACGTCACCTTTTAAAAGGGTGACACTCATAAGCTCCTCGGCAGTGGCTGACTTTGTGCTGTGTTTTATTCCACATCAAGAGAAGTTATTTTACGTCCCAGAGCAGCAGAGATGGAGCTGCTGACACTGTTTGTCATGGTTTCAAGGCACACCAAGCTGTTAACAGAGCTCAGCTCAGGCTTTGTGACTTGTCATCAACTTCATCTTCGGAACAACCCCAAAGAAATGGAGGTCAGCCAGGCTTTGTTCCACACAGGCGAGGCACAATTTGCAGCTCCAAGATTTTGGAGCCTCTTCGTTTAGCACTTCTCTGACAATTCTGAGAGGGGGAACTGGATGCCAACCAGGAACTTTCAGTTTTCTGTGTTTAAATCTCAGGGTTTTTAACGAGGGGTGTCGTTGTCACCTTGCCAAGGCACAGCTCAACCCTCTAACGGTAGATTTACCCACATTCAGCACTTTTTTGGTTGTAGTTAAATATGTCAGGGCTCTGGCTTGGCTTTGGACTCAGAATCTTTTCCAAAGACTGGCAGCAGGTGTTTTCCACTTGCATATGCAATTTGTTCAAGCTCCATATGATCAGCTATATATAATTTTGACTTATATAACAAAACAGGGACGTTTCTCAAATGTATCAACCTCCAGGTCTTTCTCATCTGACAACAGCCATCGCTGCAACCAATACAAAGTAATTCCAAAGTACTCTGAAGACATAAAACCCTGTCTGAACACTCCTAAATCAAGGCTTTTTCCAAGGTATTGACAACAATCAACCTTTAAGGTGGGAAAACCAAAGCAGTCGACAAAAGAACTCAAAGCAACAAGACAAAAGCAATGCTAAGGTTTAAAAGTTTAAAAGCAAAACGACATTCTAGACTGTGGATTCTTGAGGAACCAACTTGAATTTTAAAAATTTGTTTAAAATAAGATCCCACTAATAGATGCAGTCTCATAATGAAAATTATACAAAACATTGGAAGTCCAGAGAGAAGAAAACACACCTCTGAGTTTGTTTCATATAAGGTACAGGGTTTTTTTGCTTTGAGTTGGTTTGTCCACAGTCTTCAATTAACAAATTAATGAGCTCTCTGAAACCTCAAACCTTAGCTCAGCTTTTCTCTTTGGGACAGAACAATGAGCACTTTGGTGAGTCTGACCTTCCCATTTAAATTTCTGGAACATCCAAGAAAGCTTTTCTTACTCCCTTACGCACTGACTGATGCCAGCTGACCTGGCAGAAGTGAACTCTGTCAGCTGGCGATGGCCAAGAGGGCAGGAGTGACCCAAGACTGATGATTTTACCCAGCAATCACCAGATAAAGGCAAGGTGAGCAAAGATAAACAATATCAGCTCCAAGTAGTGACACGATGAAAGGCAGACAATAATGAACACTGTCAGAGATTGCCAGAAAGATAGGGATGAGCAATGTCCTGTTGTTCAGCCAATTCCAGTAAATGAAGATAAATGACACTGGACACTGATAAGAGAGCAGATGGACAGAACATGGGTAAGATGTGCTTAAAAATTGAATTTTTAGACTTTTTTTACATGTAACATACAGTACAGCATGGCTATACACTTTAGTTTTTCCTCACATATTTGTGCTGTAACTCTGGGATCACAACAACCGCAGCCCAACATGGTGCATATTCACACACAAATGAATTATTTTCAATTTCACCCACACAGCCTCTGCTTTCAAGACATTTTGTGTTCATTTTTTCCCCCTGAAGACTTGTGATTCTGTTTCATTAGAAGAACAACTCCCCGGTGGCCTTATGGATTCCATGAGTTTTCAAAAGTGTTGCATGAGGGGAGTTTAGTCAGGGCTTTCAATTTTAGAAACTGTACCTGCTAAATCTAACAGCTGCAGCTCTGAGAGCGATGGCTGTGGAATACAAACAGCAAATACTCCCTGAAGTTCACTTAACTCATTCTCTGCTAGGGATGGTCTCTGAAATGTTGCCCAAGCAATGCAGGAAAGTTGGACATTTTTGATAGAAATGGAATCCTGTTAAGGCTGGTGGCTGGGCTGGTTTGTGCTCAGCAGAGATTACAAGGGAATGATTCACATAGTCCTGCTTGCTTTGATACACTCTGGCTCCTTCAGCCTGGCACATCAGCCTGGAGAAAGATTATTCCATGGCTTTGTGCAGCATTACACACCAGTGCTGGGGTGGTTCTCAGGAAACTCACAAACTCCATAGCTGGTGATCAGATGAAATTACACTTCAGGAGAAGTGAGCCCTGTGCTGGCTCTGAGTCCTGAGCAGAGCACAGAGTTTTCCAAGTCCTAAACTCTTCATATTTCAATGTTTGGGGCAGCCAGGTGACACAGAAAGAGGAGGTCATTTCTCTGCATAAACACAAGGTGTGACAGAGCTCGGAACGGTCACAGCCAATTTCATTAAGAAAGCACTGAAATAAATATTCACTCAGAGGAGACAAAGCAAAAGAGATCACAGCAGCTGCTGGGCTGAGAAGGGGCCAGAGGTGTGTTGCTCTCCCATTTTAACATCACTCCTGAATGACACACTAATAGTGAGAGGCATCAAGAGGAAAGAAAGATTAAAGTAATTTCTTCTGTCAGGAAGACTGAAAGGTCTGTTTTTTGTGATGCCATTTCTCAAAAGAGAGAAATAAAGACCTTTGCTTGAGCTAAGATTTACTCAGTGCACTATTCCAAGCACTATCTTTAATGTAAAGTACTCCAAGTTTTATACTAGATCTCATCTTCAAATCATCAAGTAGAGATAGGGATGGATTCCTCACAAAAGGTCTGTGAGAAGTGCTGAGGAGCTCTTATTTGTCACATCCTGGAAATACAGAAGTGCTTGAAACTACTCAGAAACAATCAGAAGCTGAATTCCTCTGTGACACCACGGCAAGGTTTCTTGTTCTTGTATTTTGTCATGCTAATGAGCTTCCAGCAGATGAAGAATTAGTTAATGTCTTTCAGGTAAGCAGGTCCAGAGCAGTAAAAAAGAAATAGAGAATTGTATAGGACCATAATTCTACTGAAATGATCAGAAATGGACAAGGACAGTGTTTTAGCAAAGAATTATTTAAACAATAAATAAAAACAATGTAAAAATTCAGATTAAAACCAAAAAAAAAAAAGTCAAACTTTTACAAAGTAGGTGCTGAGGTTCAAAGAGGCTGAAGGTCTGATGCTGCCTAGCTGCCTACATAGTCAGTAGAGGAAAATAAACATAAATTTCTCATTGATGAGCCTCTCTGTCAGCCAAGGAGGGGAGCTCATGATGACCAGTTTAGATGTAAATATCCAACTTTTAAATGTCTAGTGAGATAAATTTTCCACAAGGCCTCTGCCACTCAAGAGTGGCAATCCTCAGCTTAACCTTTGGAAGAATCTTGGTAAGAGGAACCTGGGCAGTGAGTTAATGTCACCTTCTCAACAGTCTGAGTCCCTGCTCCTGCAGGCAGAGAGCTCCTTGAAAGGTGTCCTGCATGGAGCACACACTATTCCTAGGGAAGAATTTATTAAAAGCACCCTAAATGCCAAGTGAAAGCTCCTTTCTGTGAATGACAAGCCAGCAATGTTCTCTAAAATTCATCCTTTGGTCAGTCAGCTCAGCTATGGTAGCACCATGGTAGTTTGAAGACCAAGAGAAGCTCCAGGCTCAGTCACCACATCACACTTAAGAGTTTCTAATCTGTCCTTAATGTCCTAAATGCAAAAAAAATCCCAAGGATACAATCAAAAATGTGCTGTAAAATACTTTACCCACATCATAAATAAAAAAACAGCAAAAAAACAGCATTTAAGAAGTCATAAATTCCCTTAGTTCTAAGGCAGTGCACATCTTTCATGCTCAACAGATTTCTCTGGGCATATTTCAGACCAAGTGGCCCTTCCTTTTCTGCTTCCTTGCACAACATTTGTGGTTAGTCACTTAACAGAGCTTGAATGAATCATGCTGGAATGCTTATGAACATCCCTTTTCCTCTTGGTTCTTTATGGGATAAGCCTCTCTTTAGTGAGATATTGCAATTACCTGAGGTAAGCAGCCATCTGTGGATCCAGACCTCAAACTGCAGCCCTTGCCCACCACATTGTCCCCTACACATGCTCCACCTCAAATGGGGCAAGGACAGCACAAGACCCTGACAGCTGATGTTCAGTTGATGTGAAATGTTTTTATTTCAGCAAATTGAAGGGTCTAAAATAGCAAAGAAAGTGGTGGAGGCGACAATTTGTTCTCTCATTGGCCCAAATTGAGGGGAGATGGCACCATGCTGATCACAGGTCAGGTTAAATTAAAAGGACATGTTCTTCCTCTTCTGGCTATGCTGTCTGTCCTTAAGAAGCTCCAAATGGCTGCTGCAACTCGACATGTTCTCTTGTAATTTTCTTAATTACAGCTCCATCCACATTATCTAAATATATACAATTTCTAATTCTTAGAATTCAGCCTACCTGTAAGCTCGGAGTCCAGTCTTTGGCTCTATCTCCCATGAAATGGATGTTTGTATCAGAGACAGATCTGATGCTGTGTGGTGGCTTTAATCCCTTTTCTTCTGATGGTTGGACTAAAACAAGAGAGCTCCTCTCCACTGTGAATTGAAAAAGAAAATCAGTGTGAAATTTCATCATCTCTTTCTTATTAACCTCTGACAACCAACTGAAATGTGCTTCAGTGGTTTGCTACTAGAACTGCCTGCAAAAGAATTAATGATTTTAAAAAGGCTTTTTCAAAGGAGGATCTTTAAAAAAATTCATTTACAGCATAGCAGCTCTAATTGGTACAAGTTACAGACTGATTTTACAGAAGGATGCTGAGCTGCCCATTTCAGCTTGCTAAGGCAATGTATTTCCAAAGCAACATTGCACCTCATTCTGGAAGATTCTTTAATTAATTTGAATGCTGAAGCTCTGCAAAAACAAAAAACGTGTTATGCAACATTTGGTTTCACTGAGCCATCCAACAGCATAATTTTTACCAGTTTCTCTATGTTCCCATTGTGTTTAATTCTGTTACTTGTATGAGGCTGCAGATGTCTGTGCCTTTTCCCCACAGCTAAGACTGTTCTCTCATATAATGTAATGGCTACAATATAACCCCCAGATCCAGGACAATTCACTTGTTATGAGAGGTTAATAATTTTTCCTTCCTACATTTTTATGGAACATTTACTTTCATACACATCCTAGTGACTGAGGTGTTAATTCAAAACAAGCCTTTGAACAGCTAGTAAGAAAATGAGAAGGGAAATCCAATTTCAGAAAATGTGTAAAACCGTGCAGAGGGGAAAAATATAATTTTTAGAGAATTGTCTGCGGATGACTTTGAAATTCACCTCCCAGACACGTGGTGATGTTGGAGAGAACGGAACCTCACTGTTGTGCCTAATGGAAAACATGACAGCCAAACCCTCAGGATTTGGGAAGAACAGACCTGCAGGTCAGGGCTGTGCTGTTCCTGGCCCACCTCGGAGGTTTTGTTGCCTTTTTCCAACCTGGAAATGAAATGAGATAATTTTAGTAAGGACCTGTCTCAGGTTGCAATGCAAGATGTAACCAGATGGGTTCTATTGCCAGCTGTTAAAACCTGTTCTTTATCCCTTCCAGGACCCATCCTCCCTCCAGGGGATCTCTTCTGTTAATGGGCCATTGATTCTCACTGCAGGACTGATAAAATTCCATCATCCCATTGTGAGATGCTCCACCCAGGGGGAGGAGCCGAGGATTCCTACCTGGATATAATCTGAGACTCAGAACACCACAGGCAGCCTTTCTCCACTGGATTCCTAGAGGAAAGACCAGGTCCATCTACACCACCAGACCTTCAGAGGAGAACTCCACCCTTCTACAGGGTCACTGCTCCCACAGAACCACGTCTGTCACTCCAGGACTGCAGCCACCATTTAATGGGACTGCTACCAACACCATGCCCAGCAGGGTGTCAGGTTTATTCTGACTCTGTCAGTGGTTTTTGTACCACTGCATTTTATTTCTAATCTTCCTATTAAGCTGTTTAAATTCTTTTTTCTTTATTTATACATACTAGTAAAGAACTGTTATTCCTACTCCCATATCTTTGTCTGAGAGCCTCCTAATTTTGAAATTATAATAATTCAGAGGGAGGGGCTTTACATTTTCCTTTCCAAGGGGTATTCCAGCCTCCCTTGCAGACACCTGTCTTTCAGACCAAGACAGGAGGGAATATAAGAGTGGCTCCTTATTGAAGGCCTCCAAGGGCAGTTATGGAAAGATGTCCACAAAAACCCAACCCCCAGGGGTGAGTACATTTTATAGGTTTTAGGAAATTAACATAATTGATAAAAAGCACCAATTAGGAGGATAAGTGGGGATGCAATTCCCTCCCCCAGGCCAAGCCCTGTCTCTGGAGTCCCCCCATGGCCCTGGCTGCACTTTGCCCATGAAATGTGTCTCAGGAGTTGTTCCAGCCTTGGTTCCCAGCAAGAACCAAGGCAGCACTGGGGCCTTGCAGCCCCAGGGCTTGGAACTCTGGAATTTGTTTTGTCTTTCTGCCTAGGGAAAGGCCATGGAAAAATACTGGGAAACTTTGGCACTAATAGGCTACAGAGCTACAAATATATGTGTGAAGAACACAGAGAACACAGAAAAGAAGACAAGGCAAAGACCAAACAGCATCAGTTCCATCAGCTCTTCTGCAAAGGGCCCTGGAGAGCCCCCACACCCAGCCCAGCTCCGAGCCCCTTCCCCAGGGAGGAGGTTCCTTCTCACAGAGCCAACCTGCTCTGCTGGTGCCACCAGAAGTAACAAAAGTCCTGCCTCATTTAGCACATTTCAGGGGTATATCAATAACCAAATGTTCGATCCTGGGGGAAAGGGGGGATTTTTAAAGTCTGCACTCTGATATGAAATTTCTCAACTTTTTCTGCTGGTCCCAAACATTATTCAACTCTTTGCCACTGTTTTTAAGGCAAAGATACTGTTGGTGTGGTACTGAGTCTGCACCCTTTGCTGAGCACAGTCAGGCTCTAGAAGGAGTCATTCCTTCCACTCAATGCCATGGCTGGCATTTGGGAATAGATGTTTATTCAGAGTGAACCGAAGAAAGAAAGAAATAATCAGGTTATCAGCAGCCAACAAAGCACACATACTGTGATGATTAATATGCATTTGAGTGGAGAACTGCTCTTTTTGCCATTAAAACTTGTATTACTTAAATCACATCTTTCATCAAAGTCTTCTAATTGCACTACAGTTTGTGATCATTTAATTATCTGTGTTTTCTTTCCGAGATGGTATCTCTAAAATGTACCGTATATATCAGAGTGCTCCTCCACTTTTAAGTGTAACTTGGCCAAATGAATTTCTCCTAGAAAAAGAGCATTTCAAAAGATTTTTGTCCACTTTGGGCTGAAGTAAGTTAAAAATGCAGAACACTCTCAGCTCTTCATTTGAAGAGGTAGACATCATAATTATAAATTCCTGCTGCAGTTTAAGGTTCACAGGACAAACTCACAATAGCTTCATTACAAATTCCCTGTGATCTCTTCATACATTTTAAGCACCTGAAATATTTGCATTTCTGATTTTACTGGTGCAGCCCTAACAAGAGAGAGATATTCTTACTCACTGTGAAATGGATGAGGCTCTAAACAGGAGTTTTTTTGTTGATTCTGGGTGTGACTGAAGAGAAAGAAAGAAATAAAGACAAAAAAAGAAAGGTAAAGCCATTGCACTCTGACTTCCCATTGTGAGTTATTTCAACTCACCTTTTAAGGGATCACCTCTTCTTAAAGAATTCTTCATTTCATTTCTTAAATGAAGTTATTTTTTAAATGTTCTTTTTCCTGCTCCCACTGAGATGTCCAGGATTTGAGGGTTCTGCCAGGGCTGCTTTGAAAGAAAAATAAATTAAAAACCCTCCAGCTGAGTGTCTTTACACTCTAATGTAGTAAAGATTGGTTTAGGATCATTCAGAGGAATAGAGATTTGCTGCTTTATTAAATGGAGCAGAGATTTTTACTGAAGAAAATCTAGACATGCTGGGAAATCAGGTTTTACAAATATGGCCCTTTGTCCAATTAACAAGTGATATAGTTCTTTCCATGGGATCATTATGCATATATTATATGTGTACATAAAATACTGCAACGACACACAGGAACAGCACATTGTAATTAAAGTGGTTCAGTGAAAAATATCTCTGAATTAAGTTACTTACAACAATTTTATTCTTATCTGTGAACTTATTTTTTTTTTGTATATTCAATGCATTTTAAGAGTATTTGGTGTCATATTTGACTTTAGATCAATTGATTTGTCTGATTAGAGCACAAGATATAATGGATGTGGGAGAAAATCTGTGTATGATAAAGATATGTGTATATAACTTCATAATATAATGCAAAGATAAGCTGATAAATGCAATTCATATGAAGATAATAGATTTTCTTCACATGGGTAAGTATAAAATCCATGTAAATATGAAGCATTCTTCCAGACACTTCAACTCCTCTTAAAATCATCAGACCTGGCACTTCTGTGATGACAATATCATTCTTTGAAATATTTTAAAATGATAAAGAAGGATGAGATTTAATAAAGAGGTAATTAACAAGTTGTAATACCTAAATATCCCTGTTTATGTGGGGTAGCAGATTTTTTATATACTCATTTTAGTCAGCTCTGACAGCAAGTCTGTGGCTGATGGTTATGCCAGTCATAATTAAAACTCTTTCCCATTACATTCATTATCACAACAGATGGGATGATTTTGAGAGTAAGAGGTACCAGTTTTATATTAAAAAAAAATTTAAAAAAAATTACTTGTGCCACTCTATTCTTTCTGTTTCATCCCTTTGCTTTCTTTTCAAAGAAAAGGAAGGATTAACTTAAACACCAAAGCTCTGGTATTAATATTAAGGCATTATGGAAACCAGAAGTAGGATGATTGGAATCTGAAAGCTAAACATGGAATGGATCCTAAGCTGTGATAATAATACACTGCAGCAAGCTGTATTTACAGATCAGGTTTATAGTATAAAATCATAAATGCAGAGAATTATTCCCAATCATCTGAGGTAATTAGTAACCAGTCACTTAATTGACTTTTACCACTCTGGAGCCACTGATACAATCTGGGTGTGGCGCCTGATGGAGAAATCAATGCTAGTCTTACCTTGGGGCTATTGAGTGGTCAGACTGTCATTTCCAATAAGATAATGTCAACTCAATGCATTAACTGGGAGGTTTGGGGCTTATTTTCTTTTGGAGAAATTAAATCGGATAAACCAAAACAAAGCCAAGATGAAATAAAGAAAATAAAACACTGATATGGAACAGTGTTGAGTAACAGAAACTAACTGTGCACTTGAATGCCTTTGGAATCCTGATTGCAGCCCTAAAGTTCCTGTTCCTGAGCTAAATTCCCAGGTTAGAATAAAGGATATTCATTGTTCCAGATCAAAACCACTCAGCATCTTGTCCTCCATCATATTTTCATGGAAATGAGAAGGAGTTTAGTAAGACAGGCACAGTTCCTCAGAAGGAACAGGTGGGAAGCCAGCCGTGTTTTCCTTTTAGATCCACGGAAAACAATTATACTTAATTACACAATTACCCTAACTGGCATTTTTTTCCTGCCTGAAGAGGAGCACAGAAATGCATGAGCTAACAAAGTGATGAGATGAATGGTTCATTTGCTCAGCATCTTATTTTATTGGAATGGCCAGTCCTTGGCATTCTGGGCAGAGGTACAAAACACACTGCAGCACACAGGTGTTGAACAATTTTTCCCTTGGAAAGATTTCCTCCTTTCCCTCATCCTCTGTGTGCTCTCCAGAACTGCCATTCCAAACAGCTGCTGGCTCTGTGCCTGTGCTCCGTGCTGGGAGCAATTCATCACTTCAAAAAGCCAGCTCAGCACACTTGAGCCATCTGAACTATTTCCACCATCACACATTTTATTTGAGAATATAATTGGGAGGGAAGAGAGGACTTCAACTCTCCTTTGCTGTTATTGCTGCTCCAGGAGAGAGGCAAAAGCTATTCTGTTCTATTCTATTCTATTCTATTCTATTCTATTCTATTCTATTCTATTCTATTCTATTCTATTCTATTCTATTCTATTCTATTCTATTCCATTCCATTCCATTCCATTCCATTCCATTCCATCCCATCCCATTCCATTCCATTCTATCCCATCCCATCCCATCCCATCCCATCCCAGTTGTCTTAGTGCATTCAATTCCATTCTAGCCCTTATTTATTTTTACACTCTTTAAGATAAACTTTGACACACGTCCTAACTCACATGTGTTTATGTCCAGGAGAGGTTGGAGAGTGACTATTTTACCAGTGTAGCTGGTTGAGGGAAGGGTGGTTTACTTAAAATGGATGGAGAAAATGGATATTCTTAGCTGAAAGTGTAGGACTCCTGTTTTCAGTTTAATTTTCTCCATATGTGTCCATTTTTGTTACTGCAATTTACACACAGGTATGGGTTAGTCCTTAAATC